ATGGATTTTGTAGAGAGGGAGGTGAAGGAAAATGATTAACCTTGTTTGGTTAGAAGATGGAGGGGGAGGGAAAATAATGTTAGAATGACAAATATATCTTTAATGATGTAAGGAAAAAAAAATAAATAAAATAATTCACAATAAGGTCAAAAGAGTAATTTGATGTTAAAAATTTTCCCTCCCCTCCAAATTCCCCCACTTTTGGAGGGGTGTGTATTTTCCCGGAAAATCTTAATCCCTCCCCTTACTTAAAATCGAACCAAACAAAGGAAAACTAAAAATTTCCCTCCCCTCCGTTTCCTCCGAACCAAACAAAGCCTAAGAACAAACACAAGCAAAAATATGATATCTTATAAAATACATATACATTTTTGTTAAACAAAAGAAAAAAACACAAGCAAAAATATGATATCTTATAAAATACATTTTTGTTAAACAAAAGAAAAAAGTATGGTGAGTCGACTTTCCTAATGGTCAAACTTATGACCATTTTATGGTTCAGCCAACAGTTAGGATTAGAACCATTTCACATAAAAATTTTATGACCATTTTATGGTTCAGCCAACAGTTAGGATTAGGATGAGCTGTGTAAATGTCTGTAAAGATGGAATTGTTCATTTATTTTGATTTATGTGTTGGTTCATCATATAAACCAGACAATTCAAACTAAACCATGGGCGCCTTCACAAAAGAAAAATAAGACAAGGAAAGACAACCAGATAGTTACAAAGTACTGTAACCACGCTAACCTCCGATTACATTTTTCTTTTCCCTTCACTAAAACTGGGGAAAGCAGAAAGCAGGAAAAAAAAAATATATGGATTATTCCCATTGTTTTTTCAGCGTGCAACACAACAGAGTACGAACTGAGATGAGTTGTAACAACTATTTACACGATAAGTCTTCCATTATTTCGCTAAACGAGCTCAAACAGTAGGCATTGAGTTAGAAATGACCAAATAGCTCAAATACTGAAGTCCATCCTTCATTTTACCCACAGCCGTGCCGTGATCTGCATTAAGACGTTCCTTAAAGACATTGGCCTTGTCCTGTACAGATTTCTGACCAAGAACTTCTGGTGACTCAGCAGCTGCACTTTTGATGGCCGCCACATAAGCTTCTGCCACCTCGGATATGCCTGCAAAAAAAAAAGGTTCATGTAATTCGTGATGAAAGGAAAACATCCACATTCTGTAATAATATAAGGATAAATTGAGTATAAAGAAGACAAATGTAGTGTAATAATGTAATTAGTTGCAAATTGCAACTTTAACCAAATTCCAAAATCCTTCATATGGAGAAATCAAGGCCACTACTAAGCTGGTGTGTGCTCTCATAGAATTTGGAGCATATTAAGTTATTAACAAATTTTTTATTATTTGATTGTTTACTGCATATATATAAATATGTAAATGAATGTTAGAAATACAAAGATTTGTTACGAGGGCACTGATGTTTTAAATATAATTTTTCTTCGTTTCCACCTAAGCAGAGGAAGTAAGACCAGCTATAAATGAAAGAAATATCAAGCAAGAAAAATTACCAGTAATGAAACTGTTGAAAACAGCTTCAATATTTCCAGTCATTGAATGGGCCTTTGTTCGGATTATCTTAGCTTTCTCCACAGAGTCCTCAGGCCAATCAATCCTCATTGTTTCCTCAATATCTTGATCTTCAACTTTGTTGGCGTTAGATATGATGGACCTCCCGAGCATCAATATCTGAGTTACACCAAAGCAGCACATTTCGGAAAGCCTCTGGAAAGAAAGGCAATGAAAAAGCAGGATCTGTTAAATATTAAGTGACGATTTTAATTTTACAGTGACAAAAAACTGAACAATTGTGTTTACATGCACGCCCTCGGAATGAAGAGCATCCAGCCTCCTTGAAGTTTTTTGAATTATGTCACTTGGGGACAATCCAGCTAAAGCACTAGCAAAACTGCAAAAGATTAGAAACTGTTATAGCAATTGGTATCAAACTCTAAATGTGAATGGTGATTTGGTGAGAACAATTATTACTGAACTAGTTGTGAACATAGCCGCTCCATTGGTTGTGTACCCATCATAATCTGTAAAGCTTGATTAAAAGTTGACCTGATAAATGTTAAAGCTAAAATAAGAAAATATGAAATGTATATTTACCCTGCAGCCAATTCTGCAGCCTTAGAAAGGCTGGAGTCGTGTAGCTTCTTGAATTCATCAATGTTGTCAATGTTACCAGCCTCTATCATTTTCCCTTTTCCCGAGTCTGTAAAATTTCCATCAACTATAGCACCCAAGTCAAATATCTGTTGAACTTCTTTAAGCTTTCCATCGAAGATAGATTTTTCTTCAGACGAGAGTTTAGCCTTTCTTCGGTTATATAACAGTGTATAATGGTTGCATAATGCCTCTAACTCCTGCAAAGGGTATATGTCATAAGCATTTTAAACAACCATCTTAAAATGAAAATGCGAATGAATATTCTGAAACTAGTAGATACCTCCAGCTGCTCTGGACCTCCATAGATATAAAAGCATCTGTCAAATGTAATTTCCTCAAGATCTTCATCCATTATTCCTCCAGTTTTTTTCTCAACTTGAATCCCGGTTTCTGAAATTAACAGATCCATGGTTTCTTTACCAACTTTCTCAAGCACTTGCATACTCTTCGCTGTAAAAGCTTTTCCAGTCTGCATAACATACAATCAAGACAGAGATTTGGCCACAACTCTAGAAAATAAAAAAGAATAGAGATAGTAGTGCAACCTCTAACAAAGATGGTGCAGCAGAACCGGCCGACTCAGGTAGACCGCCATGTTGGATTGAATCAGTTAAACTTGAAGCAGAATCCTCAATCCTTGGAGAAATAAGAAACAATTCACACCAGCAATTTGTTCTACTTTCAACAAACTACCGTATGCTAATTCAAATGCTTTATCAAGTGTAACTGTACATCTACAAAGCCTGACCCAGCTCAGAATATAATTTTGACGTAACAAAACACACAGTAAACCTCAGTAAAACAGAGAACATACTATGAATTACACCTAGAAACCAACACTATTCATCAGGTATGAAACCTAAAGATGTCATCGAGAAGCATACATCATTCTCAAAGAACTATACACTATACACGTTTCTTTTTCAATAGTTGCCAATATAAAACAATCTTCTGGTATTAACTGCCCGTTTGGAAATGTATGGCTCATCAACGCACATAACTAGCTGACAAGCCAAATATGAATCATCTCAAGTTTTTCAATCCAACAGTAGACCATGCACGACCAAATCAAATTTCTGATGAATACGGCATGAAAAAGTTTTCCTATGATCGTAGCTCTGGTAATCCAGAGTGGAGAGAATCAAACACACACAGATACACACAGAATATAGGCATACTTTTGAACTAGAGTGGCTCCCCCTTTCAATGCAGTTCCAAAAGCTAGCCAAGCTCCTGAAGCAAAAGATTCTACTGATGTATCAAGAACCTTCAAACCCTGCATGATGAATCTCAAATAAGGTATGTGGAATTATATCATTTCACCAAGAAGAAACTGGAACACCTCTGCATAAATATACTGAACCAAAATAAATAAAATCTCAACCTGGATGGCGGAGAAGGAACATGACAAAAAATAACAGTCTCACGTATTTCTTTCACATAAACTACCTGGCTAAGTAAGGAATCTTCACTAGCTTTCTCTAACTTCTCCAGGGCTGCTTTGCGCCGCTTGTCATTTTCGTCATCTGTTTCTTCATCAACAGATACTTTTTTATTTTCCTCAGAAGAGTCTGAATCTTCAGCAATAGTCTCTGAAATGGTCTTTGCTGCTGTCCTAGCAGCCTCAACAGCCTGCATTTACAAAAGACAAAATTCCATCATAATCTTTTATGAACGGATCCGAGTTTTATGACAAAGTTAGCGATATAATCCTCCTCTTGAGTATTAGAGGATCCCCGAAGCTCCGCAAGAGCATATTTCAATATTATTTGCTCGTAAAATTATTAACCTCCGCTTTTTATTGAATCGTATGTCTGCATTAGGTATACATACATTAGTATACTTAAAAGAAATGAGAACAACGAGAAACATAAAAGGGTTTCATAAACCATTGGCAGCAAATCTATGTTGTTGTTATGGAACATTAATATAGGATGCGGAACAATTGCTTGCATTCATAAATTATTCACAGAGAACTCTTTTAACGGAAAACAGAAGCCAACATCTATATCCAGCATAAAAACCATAGATTATTAGTGCGTTTAAATAATTTAAAGCAAAGAAAATTATGGTGTTTGTTCCGTAACTTCCGTTTCATGCACGCCAAATTTCCTTTTCTCAATACAGGTAAAAAAGAAATGTCAAAACTCAACACAAGAGACCATGAACTCAACAAAATGGCATATGAAACTGATATACCTGCGGCGGCATATCAATTTATTGAAGTTATGTATGCCTACATCTAGTGACCAAGTCACCTAATCTTCAGACCACTCAAATCCTAGACAGGAAAAGATAAATTTGATTGCAACATACTGACACAGTGAACTAACAAGGTATTACAACCAGAATAACTCTATTCACCAGATTTCCAAGACTCCACTACAACGAGGCAGTAAAATTACTCGAAACAGTGCAGAGCCCCTTAAAAGCAACGTGAAAAATCAGTGCAAGCAAACAAAACGTTGAGAATCCATAACATTAAGCTAACTCCGAAGCTATAACACTGCAATTTCTTAATACAACCAATGCTTAAATCCCAACGAACTCATGATAGCATTGTAACAGATTCTTGATCAACATCAGACCATAATACGACTTCAAAAAGGTTGAAAAGGAACATACATTGCGAGAGATCTCTTCGGCGGCCACATTAGCAGCTTTCTGAAGATCTGATAGATAAGAGAGCGGAGAAAAGCCCCATCCGCCCCATCCACCGCTGCCGCCGCCGTTTGCACTCACTGATGAGGGCTTTTCAGCCGCGGCCTTGGGCTTTAAGTCCATTTCGGGCTCGATTTCTGAATCGGTAGGCTTCGTCGAGTTGTCAGCCATCAAAATTCAGTCACTGCAAATTTCAACGCAAATTGTATTCGATTGAATTGAAAAAATTCTAGGAAATGCAAGGCGATCTCACTAAATTGGGGAGATTCTTTGATAGCTAAAAATGGCGCATCTATGGACCATACCTGATGACCTACTTGAACGTGCTGTAGAAGAACAGAAAATCAAAACGGTGTCGTATTGGTCACATTCCATAAAGCGCTTTTTCAAATAGTTCACCGGTTTAACGATACTGGTAAATGGTAATTAGTAATTCATTAAGTTTTTTTTTTT